CTGAGGGATCATACGTGCAGCACTGGCGACTTAGTGTGAACTGTTCGCGAATAGGTCGTCGTTTTTCTCTCCGCAGTCGATGCAGGTGGCAGATTTCTCCGTCCTGTAGTTTTTGCGCTTTTCACATCCATCTAACTCCGTGCATTGCTCTGCCACATTGGCGGTCTTCTGTGGGACATTGCACGGGTACCATTCGGGAGCCGTTTTTGCGTGTCACCGGGAACGAGGCACAGTCCAGCTGCTCCCTGTGGCCGTTGACGATAAACTGCCACTGCGTTACTTCACTGGCAATGTGCTGTTGCGGCCTGCACGGCTAATTGGGATCTGTGCAAATTCCTCCTCGACAGCCGTGATATTTCATTTGTTGTTTCGGCTTCATTTCCATCAGTGTGTTGCACAGCACTGCGAAATTGGAAAATGTCGCTTTTACAAGTCCATGCCATTTTTTTTTTTGAGAAGGATTTCTAGTAATTTCGGGAAGGCTATACATCCTGCTCTTCCCCTGCTGCTGTTGCCTAGTTTTGTGCCCACTACGTGTATTGTTTGTTCCAAATAGGTGCAATTATTGAATAACTTGCAGTGACTCTCCAGGGGCAGGACTTTTGTTCATCCTTCAACTATCTGAAGTTCAGTCCCCCTCTTTCGCGTTTGCTGCAAGTTCGTCTGACGCTTTTTATTATAATTGCTGTGGGTTCTTCGCGCTGAGTATATTCTTGTCTGCTAAAATAGCAAAATGCAAAAAAACAAAAAAAAAAAAAAAAACTGGACCGGTGATGCAAAAACTCACAAAAACAGAGCGTGAGAATGGCAGAAAATGTGCGAGTAGTAATTTGAATTAGTTGTACAACGCTGTTTGTTTAAATTATTCCATGCATTCGTAATTCTTTTTATGCAAATTTCGTTGTTTTGCGATGCCGTCCATCTGTCGCAGGCCACTGAGTTTTTGCGCGCAATGCACCACCAACGGTCATCTCATCCTAGCATCTATTGCCTTCCACTGCTCATTGACTACGTGCTGTAATTTTTATTCGCAAAGCGTCGATCCGCTCATTTTTGTGAATATTCCCTACTCCGAGTCCTTCTGCTCTTTCCTTGTTCCTGCAACGAAAATTTGTTTTTTTGCGAGTGTGCATGAGCTGGCAGTTACATTTGATTTTTCGCGTTTTCTTGCAACGGATTTGCATTATGAATATTGGTGATGTCCACTGATTCGTCGTCTCTCAGTCGTTATGCTTGCTGTCTTCAACCGCTGAACAGAAGAAGCTGAGTTTTTCAGGAAACGTTGAAGAAACGCCACTCCTGACCTTACTGCGCCGGTTTCCTTGCTGCACTGTGCTTTCTTAATTACCAGGTGGTTCGTCACACCATTGTGCGCGGGTTGAGCTGCTTTGCCGAGTCAGATACTTGCTGCACCCTCGACTATAACTGGTGGAGATATAGCGCACCGTTACAAGCCATCGCTGTTCATTTCTAACACCGCGCACTTTTCTTCACATCTTGTCAGTTGCGCACTTTATACGTGCGTGTTTCAGTCATCAACCTCTCTGGAACAGATGTCCGAGGAGGTGGTTTTCCTTGTTGTGGTACTTGCGTTGAGCTTTGTACAGCCCCCTGCACGGCTTCGGGGCAGGTTTAGGGATATTTTTAGATTCTAGCAGGTTTAGGCATGTTTCGAGATAGTTTTAGGGATGCATTTCTTCTGGTATATTTGTTTGCATTTTCTATCTCTAAACTGCCATGTTTTTTGACAATCTTTCTTCCGGCCCCTATTTT